ACTGCTTTTTACCCCTCAGCTGTGAAAGGCTGTCATTTACACCTGTCCATGGTGTAAATGACACTTAGTTCATGTTTCATGTCCTGTTTAAGAGCAGACAGTTTTATCATTGATGTGAGACTTAAATTTGTGGTTCAGTATTTGTTAGTAAATTATTATGATAAGAAACACAGTAGACCTCCAGTAGAAGTTTGGAGTTGATTCTTTTCTCAGACATGCATTGAAATATAGACTGAAACAGTGGCATGAACAACAATGTCTGAGACTCTGATCATTTTGCAGGATTCCTACTCCTACGTCCGGTCGACGGCTCCAGCTGTAGCTTACGACAGTAAGCAGTATTACCAACAACCCACTGCAACAGCAGCTGTTGCTGCTGCCCAGCCACAACCCAGTGTGGCAGATACCTACTACCAGACAGGTACACTCAAATACACATTTTTCTACCCCATTACTACCAAATGCATTGATTTGTAATCATTTCGATTTGATCATTAATATGCAATTTGTCATGGCAGTTTGGGGAAAGCTGTACAGTTTTGGAGACACTGGAGTCTGAAAAAGATATTTTAACATGTGCCAAGGCATTTCTCAGTTAGACTGTCGAGATAACCTTCATGTTTCCCTTTGTGTCTCCCAGCCAGCAGCCAGCAGCCGGGGTAGCATACACCCATCCAACCACAGTGGCCAGTTACACAGTTCATCAAGCACCAGTGGCAGCACACACTGTGGCAGCAGCTTACGCCCCTGCTGCAGCCACAGTTGCAGTAGCTAGGCCTGCGCCTGTTGCCGTGGCAGCTGCTGCCACTGCTGCCGCTTACGGAGGATACCAGCCGACCCACGCGGCCACAGATTATGGCTACCCTCAACGGCAGCCTGAAGTCCCTCCACCACCCCCACCAGTCACCTCACAGAACTACCAGGTACCACAACAATTTTCTGTAGACTCACAGATTCCAGAACATTCTTTGGAGTCTCTTTGAATGAGGAATATGGGGAGAGATGTGCTGCCTTCATTATATTTGTGGGAGCTCACGTGCCATAAATGCATTTGGGAAAGAAGGTTAGAGACCACCTTTCACCTTGAAC